GTTTCTTTCATACGTGGTATGTTTGATTATATTCGTCTGTGTTATTGTAGAGAATTGTAGAACTATTTCTTATGCATTAGTACATTAGGTAGCAGTCTGTTTCTGTAAGCCTGTTTCTCGTAAATTTGGTGGGAGAGAGGGGTTGTCAACTAGTACAGCTTTACTTCTGGCAGACCTTCTTTCTCTCAACCTGTACCTGCAACAGAAATGGACGTCAAACAGGCCTTTTACTTATACTAATTCTGCCTAGAGTAATGGTTTCTCCAACCAAATTTAATAGTTTGTGCACACACCAGTTTAGTCCAAGGAGGCAGTATTCCTCCATTTTAAATTATGGTCTTGGTTTGAACCCTTGGAAAAGGAGAAAATCTTGGAGGGAGCATTTTCCCCTTTAAACGGGCCTTATGTGGCGCAACACCAGATTAGTCAGATGAGTGAGTTTTGAATACTGGATGGTTTAAACAAAAAAGAAAAATGGCACACAGATTGCAGCGTTGTGTGATCTTAGAACCTCAGTAGTAGCTTGATATATGCAGAGGGTTGTGTTTTGTCATGTTTTATTACACCTATACATCTATATTTTGCAGGATTATGAGTTACTTGTTGGCCGGAGCCAAAAGAAGTTGGCGGAGGCAAGCGTAGTTTAGCGTCGTGGTTATTATTTTAGCTTCTGTACTAGTAATTTATGATGCAAGAAGCGTTGTACACAACATATAGAAGAACAGTACGAGGTGAAGCAAGTGCAAGTAGGAGAAATGTTAGGTAAGCTCCTATACAAAAGGATGACATGTTGAAGATTAATTAGCATTCTTTAATCCCAAGTTTAAATATAAAGCATATTTTATGTACCACTTTCTTTTTCTGGGGTTTGTAATCCCTTTATTTCTTTATGTGTCCTTGTGCAATCTTTACGTTAGTTAATATCTATGGATATTCTATTATCTTACACTAAAGATCCAACTATACAACTATGACCTTTGTATTTGGTGGCGAAACCAGAAATTCTAATAATGAAAAAAGTTTTTTTTTAAATATTTATAAATGGGAATTCTACAAAACATATATATACATATAAGGATGTCTTTCCATTTCAGACAGAAAAAGCCCGATTGCTATAGATATCCAAGAGTAATAGATCAGTGAAAGCTTCCGAAATGGGCTCTTTGCCACATAATAGACACGGTTTTCCCAAATTCAATTGAACTGCTTCACCTACCGTTGGTATCCATAGTAAATTGAGATTAAAAAAAATAGGCTTAAGTCATACAGAGCCCCTTAAAGTTGTTTGCGTATTTCACTTGAACATCTTAATTAAGATTTGTACGAACACTTTTATTGTTTAAAATGAGTATCTATTAGGCATTTTTTGTTGACATGACAAAGAATACGTAATACACATATAGTGAGCGCGTGGAGGGATATTATAGCTCCTTTTATTTTATTTTCGGAAAAGGGTCAAAATTGCCCTTGAACTATGTGAAATAGACCACTTATACCCTCTATTACAGTTTGAGATCAAAAATACCCCCGCAGTTATCCCAGGAGACCACAAATACCCTCAAGAGTTAACACCCCAATTTTTTAGTGACGTGGCAAGCCACATGGGACTAATCCCTCCACCTAAGCATTGCCAACTAAGATTTACTACAAAAGAACTTGACTTTTAGTGGCGACAAAGTCGCCACAAAAACCCAAAATATTGCCACTAAAGGTGATGAGTGATTTTTAGTGGCGACTAAGGCTCCAACAACCATTCGCTAGTAAAACCTATTTTTTCAACAAAAAAATATGATAGTTAATTTTCGATTGCGACCTAATTTTCTAAAATAAATAACTTGCAATATCCATATTAAAAACATCCAATATTATTACGAAAAATAATCAAAATTACTTCTCGATTCAAATCTCCTACTACATATATATAATGCATCATTGTACAATTTATACATTTACATATGACATAAAAATAAAACATATAGTTAGAACATATAGTTAATCGATATCATATTTGGTTTTTTAAAAACAATGAAGAAAAAAATACAAAATTAGAATTTAATGTTAAAAACTTTTAGTGACGATTTTCTGGGCTTTTGTGGCGATTGTTGTTGCCGCTAAAGATCTAGTTCTTTTGTAGTGAATTCTAGTTGGCAACGCTTAGGTGGAAGGATAAGTCCCACGTGGCTTGCCATGTCAACAAAAATTTGGAGTGTTAACTCTTGAGGATATTTGTGGTCTCTTAGAATAACAGCAGAGACATTTTTGATCCCAAAATGTAACGAAGGATATAAATGGTCTATTTCATATAGTTTGAGGGCAATTTTGACCCTTTTCCGTTTTATTTTTAATCTCTTTCTTCTTCTTCTTCTTTCTTTTGTCTCTTTCTTCTTCTTTTTTCCATAGCCGTACTCTTCCAACACCACCACCATCCCGCCATTGCCGCCACCTCCCCCCACCATCATCTACCCTTCTCTTCTCTCTTTTCTTCAGCCACTTCTCCCTCTCCCTTACCATTGTCGATTTCATCTGGAGAACACCATTACATTTCTTCCTCCATTTTCTTAAAAATTTGGCAGTCATTATCTTATTCACCAGAAAAAATGGATACCCACACTATCACTACTCTATTCCTCCCTCCCTCCCTCCCTCTGTTCTTCCTGAAAAATAAATATCTAAACCCAAATGTATCATATCTTTTTAAAATCAGATCTGAAAAAAATTAATAGTTGAATTAAGAGGAACGATGATGATGACGGTGAGTGGACGGCGATAGTTTGAATAAAGGAGTTGCACATTTTTTCACCCTTGACCTTTATGAAGCTTTGAACCTGCTCAATTATTAGTTGATTATAAATCTCTCTATACTCCATTAATACATGATTGAAGTTGTGAACGAGTAAAATCCTTTAGCTTAGCACAGATAAAGACGAAACACAGTGAACGAATTGAAGGTTCATGGTTTCAAAATAGTTTTTCTTTTTTTTTTCCCTCAAATTTCCACATGTATGTCGTTAATTCGTTAATTTGCCACATCACCGCGAGTGTATTGCACACATATAACATTTTAAATTGATTGTCAAAAAAGTATTCAAATGGTTCAAATTCAAACGGGTAAAAGTGTTTAATAGGTATCCACTCTAGTTTGGGTGTTCAAATGAAATATACAAACAACTTTGAGAGATTTAGTATGACTTAAGCCAAAAAAATAATATAACAAACAAACTATTCCATGTCATTTTATTTAAGCATTCTCCCTTTTCAACTTAATATGTAATTATAAGTGAGGTGTGGAGAGAGTGATGTTCAAGCAGTTTAGCTATGAAGTAGAGATTGTTTCAATAGAAGTTGGGGCCAAGTAATTAGTAAAGCAAAGTAGATTATATATTATGATTAGTCAACTGCTGCTCACTTAAAACGATGGGGATGGAGATGGAGATGAGGGTAACTTTAGCTACACTCTTGGGCATACACTGTATTTGGATAAGAAAGGTTGGAAACAATCTACAAAAAAGGGAATGTTCTTAGAAAAAGCCTCTTTTGGTTCACTGAATGTGTACTCTCTTCTTCTTGTCCTAATTGCCGCTTCACAATTTTCTTCTTTCATTACAAAATCTCTCCAATTTCTTGGGAATACAATTGTGATTAAAAATTGAGATATTTCATTTGATCTTCTTTGGGTTTATAACTCACATATTATTTCACCGACCCATTTTGTCAGATTTATTCAGGATTCCCCACATATTTTGTAGGCTCCAAAATCCAAGTTAAAAGGCACATGCCTTTTCATTTGTGAAATTTGCATTTGAGTTTATGGATCTGAATTTTACAAAAAAATAAAAATAAATTTGGCTCTGAGCAATAAGTAGATTTCTTAATGCAAATACACAATTTTAACACAAAACTACTGAACCCGTAGTTAAAACTCGTTGTAAAAATTATGCAAGTGATAAAGATCTTTAGCAGGGAAGATAGAGATATGAAGTATAAGTTAGGCTACCAATGGTAGGGTTAGAGTGCAGCAGTCAATTGAGCTAATCGTATAAACTAGTAGAGAAAGATCTCTGATGAGCTGTATCATATCTTCTTCTTTACAAAGATGAGTATAAACAAGTAGATCTATTGAGATTTGAGGTCCTATCAAAATTGTATATTGATATTTGCAAGTATAACAAGATTAGTACGTAGATAAATAAATGAGTAATATCCCACCCAGCTCAGTTTCTTCTAATTAAATGAAGGTAACATTTCAGTTTCATGAAGAGGTACATAAAACAAATCTCTAAGGAGACTAATGAGTTAAGATTTAATATTATTAAAACAATAATACTCATAACATAGTTAAAGGCAGATTGGGTTTTGGACGTTACCTCCAATTGATGGTTGAGATCAACCAATTTTGAATATTGAATACAACAACAATAACAACATACCCAATGTAGATGTAGTCCAGAAAAAGAAGTAAGAAGGTACAAGAAACAACAAAACAATACAAATAATTGAAATCTTCATATAGTAATAGGAATCAAAGGATAAGAAAAACTAATATTACGACTACTAATATGAACGGATAACAAGACAACACACTGGTACCTACGTAAAAAAAAAAAAAAAAGAATTATTGGCCGTTGGAACCATGGTGGAACCAGAGTTGGGAAATCTGGACTCGAACTCCAAAAGGTACAGTGAAATAGCCGACATTGTGTTTCAAAATCCCATAGGGATGCCTTGTCCAGATTAAGCAACCCTCCTTTTCTCACGCCCACTTTACCACTTTTCTAATCAAATACACACAAAACCAAAACACACGTAACTACAAATTATAACAATCATCCCTTGAATTCCAATTTACTATGCCTCAAAGTGTAAAATACATACCCCACGTTCACTCCTCTTTCTCCAAGATTTTAAAACTACTGCTTCTTTCCATGCAAATCCCCCCTGTTTTCAAAGTGACCATGTTCATTGTTTACCCCTCCCCCCCCCCTCCACCCCCTTGGTTGATTTCTTGGTATAAATACTTTGTTTCCTTTCAACATTTTTCCATCAGGGTCCAGCTCCAATTGAGCTTTTTTCCCCTTATTACTACTCTTTTCTCAATCTTTTTCTTTCTTCTCCGCTCCCAAAACCAAAAGTTATCAACTTTACTACTAGTAATCAAGAATTAATCATGGCTGATCAACAAGTGTCATCATACAGGAATGGATCATCAAAGAAAAAGAACAACATTTCAAGGAAGTGTGCTTCATTGATTAAAGAACAAAGAGCCCGGATTTACATCCTCCGCCGATGTGCCACTATGCTTCTCTGTTGGTATATTCAAGGGGATGAATAAGTTCATCAATCCCAAAATTAACTCCGCAACTACTACTACCACTACTTCAATTAAACGTACAACAAATATAACCCTACTCTACATCGTCTACCTTGTTTCCATATGTGCTTTCGCCTTTTTTTTGGCTCCATCCATCATTTTCACGTGCTTGATCATGAAAAGAATCTGGAGGACGTGTTGAAGATATAATTAAGTAAATAAATGTGTACTCTCTCGAGATAGTCACACACTTCAACACGCCTACCTACTCAGGCACTTGGTTGTATTGGTCCTGTTTGTCTTCCGTAGTTTCTTAGAAGTCTGCCTAGTTACTCTTGTCTTTTTGGTCGTGTACCACTTCACATTTTTTACCCAATGGGTGTAAAACTCTATTGGGTTTTTTTGGTACATGAACAAATTACAGGGGAAACTTGTTAGATGGGCACTTTGAAACAGAGGTTTTTGGACAAATAGGGTAAAAAAATGGATGGGGAAGCTGATAAGAGGGCATTTCCAAGCATATGGTGACGACAAAGCTGTTCTATATAATCTGAAAGGCTATTTTCATGTTTTACTATGTAACAAGTGTATATGTAATTGTAATGCAATCCACAATGTTTTTACCTGACTTTTCTAGTATGTCTGGAGCAAATATAGAAGCTCAATAAATATCGACAATTGAATAGTAATTCAAACATCCATAGTGATGTGCTAGCATGTTTACTACTAGTATGATTGTATAAATAAGGAGGGCCGCGATGGCAGCCCTTAATGGAATAAAAGAAGGGATTGTATGTTTAGTCGTCTTTTGTGTGATGAAATTGTAACCATTTTTTTTTGGATCAAATATTTCTCAAGAAGTTAGTTTTAGGGAGGCATGCATAAGACTTAAGAGTGTCGTTGGATTTGGAAACCAGGTTGGTCATCAACATGCTGCTGCTGTCTTATATTGACAGATGAGACACTAGCTAGCTAGGTTGAGCCAACCTGGTTCTACTATGTTGGTTCAATGTGAGAAGATATTTTCATGGACAATTAGTAAATGGTTTAAGGTTGAGATTTTAACAGCTAATATAATGTCTCACTATAATCCGTTGTTGCCCATATACAAAAAGATTTGGAGTTGAGAGAGATTTTTACTTGTAGGAATATTTGATATTATGTGTAACTGGATCATGCAACATTCATAGGCTGTTTACTAGCTGATCTGTTTCAATCACCTGAAAGTCAACTTGGAGAAATTTAAAAACAAAATATAATCCACAAGCAATATTTGAACAAGTATTTTGTTCCTCAATGTGTTATCACTTGAACATGTAAAAGGAATCTTCACTTCCAATTAATAAAAACTACCCTCGATGCCATTTATCACATAAACATAAATAGTTTTATTGTGCTAAAATAAAGCATTTATTCCCTTACCCTTGAGTAGCTAGAAAGCATATAGTGGGCTCTAAAATTATAATCGTCGCCTTCCAAAAGTTGCTAAATTCCCCTACCAATGTAGACAGAATCAATGCAGTGGAATTTAAAGTCCTCTTATTAAATTTGTTATAAGCATATTCGACTTTTAACTTCCAAAGGTTATTGGTCATCATAAACTTTTTCTTCCTATCTCTCTATCTGAAATTGATGGATTTTTTTAAATTTATATTTGATGTTTATGTTAAGTCAACAAATATATGACATGTATTAGCACATGCATTTTTATCCCTTAAGTATAAAATCATTTCATCATGAAACTAAATAGGGTATTTTTGAAAAGGTTAAGTTGAATAACTATATTAACAAAGCTACTTCTACCCCCTCAAAATCTTCAATTTAATTTTTATACTAATAGATACTACTATCTTATTAAGTTGGAAAATATGGGTAAATTGGTTTGGAGTTTGGGGTTCATTTGCATATAACCTGCTTGTGGAAATGGCCGAACCAGTTTTTGCATAACTTGTCAGAGTTGATTTCAGGTGAAATTAGAGCATAACTGTTAAATGGTTAAGGTAAATTTGTGCTAACATCAATTCGGTATTCTTATTTTCAGTACTTTCCCATGTATACATAAACATGTTGTCCTACAACCAGAAACTGTTGAACCCCAAAAAGAATATGCTATTTGGTACTACTACTTTTTTCTTCTGTTTGCTTTTACTAGATTGAATGCTGGCTTTCCATGACTACTTTATCCCTGAACCTCTAGGGAGTTTCTTTCTTTTTGCATGATTGCATATGTTATGGGATTTTTGTGCAAGTATCTTCTGCATTGGAGTTACATTCTTACACATTACTGAATTAGTTAAATCTCCATATCTTATTCCCAGATACTAATGCTGCCTAAGTTTGTGATCTTTAACTTGCTAAATGTCTAACATTACCTGTCATCCAATGTTAGCCATGACGGAAAATCGTAAATGTAATTTATTGAGGAAATCGTTCACTTTATACATTTATTCCTATATGTTAACTTCCTACGTGTAAAAAGCAAAAGTTCACCTATACAGACACTCACATCTACATCAAATTTATGTGTACCACCACCTTATTTAGGTGCTCCCTGGTTGGATACTACTCTGTTGAGACACTCAACCACTTCTGCTATAGTTGGCCTTTTGAAAGGATTCTGGCTGACACACATACAGGCAACATCAAGAACTTGAAGCATATCTTCTTTGAAACCCTTGTCTCTCAGTATAGGATCAAATATTTCTTCTTGTTTACCCTCATTTCTCATTAGGTGCACCCATGCAACCAATTCCCTTGACATCTTTGGTTTGCTCATGTCCACAGGTCTTCTGCCAGCCAGGAGTTCTAACATCACAACTCCAAAACTATAGACATCTCCTCTCAAAGTGGCTATCCATGATTGACTATACTCTGGTGGGATGTAGCCGAGGGTACCAACCAGTTCAGTGGTGACGTGAGTTTGGTAAGGAAGAATCATTCTGGACAATCCGAAATCTGCCACATGTGCTTTAAACTTTTCATCAAGGAGGATGTTACTGGACTTTATGTCACGATGAACAATATGTGGTTCACATATCTGATGCATGTAAGCCAGCCCACAACTTGCCCCCTGTGCAATCTTCAGTCGAGTTGGCCAATCAAGTAGGAATGCTCCATCAGTTTTCTCGTGCAACCAGTAGTCCAGACTTCCGTTTTGCATATAGGAATAGATCAGCAACCTACAGCCATCATGCACACAGTAACCTTGAAGAGAGACCAAATTCTCATGTTGGGCAGTGGATAAAACTTCCACCTCTGCTTTAAATTCTCTTTCAATTAAACCCATATCTCCTGAAAGTTTCTTAACAGCCAGCGTAGTTCCATCTGCTAAAGTTGCTTTATAGACCAGACCAAAGCCTCCACAACCTACTATGTTTGCTTGGTTGAAGTTATTCGTGGCTCTCAGAATGTCAAAAATTGTGAGATCATTAATCTGATCCTTATTGGTTGGAAACATAACAAGCATGCTGTTATCCTTTCCAATCTCAGCAGACAATCCAGAAGTGGAGTTGTAGGACACAATTTCCAAGTCATTTTTCTCGGCGTCACCTCTTGGAAGGATCCTCCTCTTGGAGAATATCCAGAATGCTATGATGATGACTGTGAAGGCAATGCCGAAGGAGATCCCTAGGATGAGTCCAATTAAGATTTTCCTTTTTGCGGTTTTTCTAACTGCAGAAGGTTGTGTAGTTCCTGATCGATCAGGGCAAGGGTGCTGCAGGATTTGACCACACAGTCCTGGATTACCTAAGAAACTAGTGATAGGAAATGTGTCAAACTGACCTCCTGTTGGAATAGGTCCCTCAAGATTGTTGTGAGCAACACTGAAAGAAGACAAAAAATGAAGACCCTTGAGTGAAGAAGGAATTTCACCTGAGAGGTTGTTGGCAGAGAGGTCTAGTTTCTCCAGATTAGTGAGGTTGGATATTGTTTCTGGAATGTTTCCTGTAAAGTTGTTCTTGCTCAGATCAAGAACATGAATGTACTTCAGCAGGCCAATCTCAGTTGGAATATTGCCATCAAGGTTGTTGTTTCCAAGGTAAATAGCTGGTGGCAGGTTTGACAGTAGATTATATTGCTGATTTGAGGCATTGTTTGGCTGAACAAACACAGGCAATTCTAAAGCACTTCTGTCGACCTTATCAGCAGCCTCTTGTGATGCGAGTCTTTGCAGTTGAGTAAGTTCAACTGGGAAGCCTCCATTTAGAAAATTCTGAGACAAATCCAGGTAAAATAGATTCTGTAAAGTCCCCAACCAACCTGGAATTTTGCCTGTGATTTGATTCACAGAAAGGTCTAGAACCTCTACCCTCCCAAGTTTAACCAGCCATGTGGGTATCTGTCCGGTGAAATTACAACCACCTAAACCCAGAATTTGGAGATTTTGAAAATCTTCAGACCCAATCAAGTTCCCATTATCAGGCAACGTTTCATTATAAAAGTTTTTGGTGAGGATTAGTGTGGTAAGATTCTTACAACCCTTAAGGACTTCTATTGCCCCTGCAAAATTGGTTAGGCTGTTATTGGAAACCGAGAGGAAGGACAGAGCTTGTAAAGACGTTATGCCAGGCAAGATATCTCCTGTCAGATAGTTAGTAGCCAGACGGATTGCAGTTAATGACCTGCATGAAAAAAGGCTTTGTGGAATGCTTCCAGTGAAGAAGTTATTTCCAAGGTCGATTATGCCAAGTCGACTAAGGTTGGAGAAATCAAGACCTGAGAGTTCACCTTCCAAGAAGTTGACCCTTAAATTGAGCACAGTGAGACGGGTGCAAGTCATCAGTGATGGCGGCACAGTGCCATTTAGATTGTTTATATGGAGGAGCAACTGTTCCAATCTAGAGAGCCTTCCAATATCTTGAGGGATCAAACCTGTCAATTCATTGCCATAGAGTGCGAGGATTCTGAGGTTGACAAGGTTGACAATGCTTTCTGGGATGGGTCCAGAAAATTTATTGCCAGGTAAAGAGATTTCTTGCAGTGTTGACACACTATAAATATCATCAGGAATGAATCCCGAAAGATGGTTGAATCCTGCTCTCAAAGTAACCAAACTGGAGCAACTCCCAAACCCTTGGGGCATCTGGCCCCTGAAGTCATTGGAAGTGAAATCAAGAACTCTGACAGCGGCTGAGTAGCTGCAAATAAAGGAGGGTATTGGACCAGAGAAGCTATTGTTGCTAATATCGAAACTCTCTAAATTAATTGCTGGCTCGAGAAATGACGATAGAATTGTCCCATTGAAGTGGTTGCTGGAGAGATTTACTGTCTTGATGGGTGATGTTAATCTATCTGATAGCGGCAATCGTCCTGATAAACGGTTATAACTCAAGTCAATGATCTGCAAGCTACTAAATGACTTGAAAAATCCATCTGGGAGGGGACCAAAAAATCGATTATTTGACAGGCTGAGTTGAGAGAGTTTGCTCAAATTTGCAATAGCAGGGGTTATGTTTCCAAAAAGGCTTCTTGAGGGAAGCCAGAGAGTGGTTACTCGGCCATTATCATCACAACCAACACCTTCCCACAAGGTGCAGCAATCCATGGAAGAGGACCAATTCAAAGGAGAAGGTGAAGAGATACCAACAGAGAATGATAACAAAGAGTCACGATCAAGCTGATTGCAAGAAGCATGACAGATGGTAGCAATAGAAGAAAGAAGTAGAACAACTATCAATATTATTGGATAGAAAGATTTATGGTGGGGTAAAGAAGAAGAAGAATGAAAGGAAGTAAGAAGCATGGCTGCTCGAAATTGATGATATGTCAGACCAGATTGGTGGCGGCTGTCTTTATTATCCGTGATCATTATTATTTTTAGACAACTAAAGATGAAGAAGAAAGACAGTTGAAGATGCCAAGATACTCCAATCAACCATGTGGGTATTTTTTTGGCAATTCTTTGTCCTGTTGATCGTGCAGACTTTAGTCTAACCCCATGAAGAGAAGAGAGAGAGTGTAGTTGATGTTGACAAGGTGCAATTTTTATGTAGCAAAAAGGTGAGGTATGAGTTTTTGAAATAAAGCGTTTACTTTTGGGACGGCTAGATAGATAGATGGCTGGTGGACTTTGTTTATTCTATGGATATTTGAAAGCGTGTAATATACGTGGGAGAGAGAGAGAGAGACTTTACCATACTATTCTCCTCTCCTCTCCTCACTTCCTCCATATTTATGCCCCCACTTGCACTAACTAACAGATTATATTATGGCTTCTCAAAAGTAGCTTTTGCACCTATCAGCAATTATGGATTTGTTGCTATCCTATGACCTATGGGTAGTAATATTTGAGAGGTGGAAAATGTTTCAGATAATAAAGCCAGACCTTTAGAGATGGAGGAAGAGTCGTCACTTACTCTGTCTTTTTTCCTCTCTTTTGGTTTTTTTTTATTTTTTATGTAACTGACTTTTCTCTGTATACAGATGTATTATAATCACATGTTATGTTCTTCAACTGTTATCTCTGTGTATATATACATTATTTGGCATCGTGTTGATTTTAAAAATAAATACATCACCTGATCCGTTGACCATTCAATGAGTTTCCCGATCCATCCAATTATTTTATTTGTTTTACTTCGACAAGGGAGTAAAAATATAGCCAACTAAACATAATTGTTAGTAATATATAGTAAAATAAGGATTGATTATCTGGTTGATAAAGACAACTTTCAATGTCTGCTTATTGGAAATTCCAAGAAAGGTAGAGTCCTGAATCCACGGAGTTTGACAGCGTCTCAGGTCATCATCTAGAAATTTTTTTTATAAAAAGGTGTAGAGTAATTCTTTCCGGAACAGACTAAAAAAAATCTTTCTTTGGCCAATCGATGCTGCTAAGGGACCTCAACTGTTGTGATACATAATCTTGAAAACCAAATCCAATTTATTTCAAGTGGAGTCGTCATTTTCACCCTTTGAGTAATCATAATCCATTACCGTGCACTGAGTGTGTACTATTTTTGCGCATGATGGTGAGAGGAAAGGGGATCAAATAATTGTTCAAAAGTCAATAATAATAATCATAACAAATAATCTCCTGTGATTTTGTCAAAGGAATTATTATGGCTTATGAGTATAGTGGGGGGAACACCATCAGATAGGAATCGCACACTTTAGCAAACATATATATCTCATACAGGAACACCCAATATCTTCTCACATGACAGATTTAAGTTTATACTGACAGTATAACAGTTGGACCATGTCACATGGTAAAAGTTAAACCACATGAAACAAAACGTTTCAAAGTATGTGCTTTGAAAAATAAACAGGCTCTTTACCACGCGAATTCAAATTATTCAGTCCCTTGCGCCAACCCCAGATTAAAATATTACTGAGCCCAACCACCAAAGTTTACCAATTTGTAGAGACCTGAAGACTAAAGAGAAGACTGTCCCATTTTCAAACCAAATGTTCCTTGGCAGATAGAAGCAGATGCTAACAACTTATTCGAGTCCAGTCAAAGGTCAGAGTCAGAGCATCTTCCTTTTCCATCTAATTTTGATCTACCAGAAATGCTGAAACTTACTCTTATCCAGTGAAAACCACTGCATCTTCTTTGCATCCTGGACCACATTTTATCCATGTATGTATTCAAATATTAATTGCACAGCAGATTTCCCTTCTTTTTTCTTCTCTTTTCCTTTTCTATTATGTTAAATGGTTTTGGGGGGGTATGTTGCATTCAATAGGTATGTAGGTACAGCATTACATCATTTTCACTTGAACTCCAATAGTTCACAAGACAACAAATGAAAACCACAGATGAAAACACCCTAGTGTGCAAGAGTGAAGTGAAAAAATATCTGCTTGCAACACATTGATATCAAGCAGAGACATCTTGGATTTCTATGGATTTTTTTTTTACAATTATTACATCTCGTAACACTAACATTTGGAACAACAATTTGAAGAAAGAAAGAAAAGAATAAATATATGAGATTTATACCTTCACCCCTTCTATTTTTTTTCTCCAAGTGGAAGACTAAAACCAGCTTTCTTGCATTGCTGGGAATAATTGGATTTGTTTGTCTGCTAGAGAAAAAGGATACAACATGGATAAACATTCAAGAAGTCAATACCGAACTACTTTGAACATATCGTTGTAACAAGCAAGTCCCTTCATTCCTCCATCCCAAACATCATTTGGGTAGTGCAGCTGGCCAGCCTCATTGATGTTCATTTCATTGCCAGGAGTCGAGGTGCTCATTAGGCCGAGGCATGGGTAAAACCATGGCTGCTTAGTCTGCATCTACACCAAGTCCATTGCAACAAAGGTTAATTACCAATTTTTGTTATCTTGGGATTTGGTTATATAATGACAGTGGTCAAGACGAGCAAGATCTTAACTCATCAAAGCCTCAACTCACCAATGTCAGAACAAACATTTCATATTTGCAAGTCCCACTTAAAGCCTAATATGCAGCTAAAGAAAGAGGGGATGAGAAAAGGGAATCTACCATTAAACAAAACTCATTTCAGGACTCATTAAGGGTGACCAAACAGTGATGATCTTTGTAACCCTTTTTCTCCTTTCTAATTTATGAACACGATCTACGTTAATGTTTAGTTTGCATGAATATCATGGCAAGTTAAAACTAAGTTCAAGAGAGTGAAAATCATTCCTTATTAATCAAATGCTTAAACCTTGGTGGTAGTAGATAAAGCCAACAAGTTTTGCACAAAAAAAGTAATGATAATGAAGCCACGTGAAAGGAGAAACAGCAAAGTGCTCAACTGTGTATTAGAAAATTAGTAAGGAAATGGATTTTAAAGGATGCTCAGGCTTCAAAGGGAACAATGAAAAAAGAATGAAACTAGGGACCTACCATTGGATGGATCAACGTGTACAAAAAAACTTGCAGCAACAATCAGATAGCATAGGATCAGCATCAACCCTTTAAAATAGTTTGATGTGCCTTCCTACATTGTGTAAAAGCAACATCAGAAGTTAGCAACAAGCCTACATTTGACGGTCCAGGAACCAAGTTTACAGGGAAATATGAACAATTTTCTTTTCTTTGTCTTTTTTCTTTGGGGGTGGAGGGGTGAGGTGGGGGAGGGAGATGAAAGTGAGGGATGTTAAGAAAGAACTGGGTAGAATGCCGAACCTGCAACATGAATGCCACGACTAGCACTGTGATGAAGAGTGTAGCGGTCTCGAATAATTGGAAATTCAAGTCCATGGGCTTTCCCATAAACCAACCAACGACAACGCAAAACGGTATCTGCATTTTCAACAGCATGAGATATGAAATTATCAACTAAATGCATAAACTCTATCATCTATCTTGAATAAATATAACCTGGCTTCCCCAAATTTAACAGTGACACAGAAATACTATGTGCTCTCAGGAGAAATAGGAAGGTCCATTTAAGGATCTCTAAATATTTTTCTAAAAAAAAATAAAAAATTATCCCACAATTTAAAAAGCTATCTCGGATAGTTGGAATGCATTAAATGTCTTACCACAAACATTGATATCTGAGTAGAAGACCCAATTGCAACTCCAAGTGTGATGTCCTGCCAACAAGGATACATTAGTAACTGTTTTGGAGCAAAAGAGAAAGCAGATATAGTTTTATAAGAACTCACAAGCTTATCTTTCATTGCGAACATGATTGCGCTGGCGTGTTCTGCCGCGTTTCCTACGATTGGAAGCAAGATGACACTAATAAAGGACATCGGCATGTTCAACGAGTCAGATGCACCCTGAAAGAATATTAGTGAAATAGATAAATTACCATGAAGAAACAAAAAATTGCCACTAAAGGATTAAAAGCTAATATTGAGCCCTTTTGCATTATGCACATAGCTCAACTTTATTAGGTGCTTATGGGAGACTATAAATCAATTAAGCCAGAGTTAAATAAAGCTTCTCTCGCAACTATGACATTGCATTCAAAACTTTTCTTGCTCTATATCTTGACTAAATGCTGTTTTTATATTTTAGAGTTCTGGGCTGCTTCCTCACATGGTTAAAAGAAGGGACAAGCCCCGTTCATTTTGTGTGGCTCTATCTTGTCATTCTTTACCTGGTGAAGTAGGAATACACCTAGTTAATTTTCTACTGATCTACTGGTTCTCTCAATTACTGCTCTGTCAACATTTTAAATTGCTTACTACATTATAGTATCTCTTTTAATGTTCAAATATATATTTTATTTTGTATCTTGTGCATACACATATGCACTAGAATCTATGGATTATGTATTTTTGTTATGTGTTGTTTCCTGCTCTTCAGCAGGTTAGCATTTTTTAAAAATAAATCTAATCTCCCACCCAGCTTGTGCGCACCTCAATTACCCACCAAGTGGCTGCCTCCCAACAACACAGGCACCAGGTACTTTGAAGCCACACCCTTGGGTGCTTAATAGTTAGTAATATGTGTTCAATATTTATGATACTATATCCAACTATTGTCATGTTCCATTAATTATTTTCATGCCTTGATGTCTTCACGTGCATGCTCAACATTACCCCCTTGTGGATCTGTGCTACATAGATTGATTTTCTGATCTAATTTTCCTAAAGGCAAATTAAACACTTTTGTTTCACTTTTAACAGACCCTCGGGACGAAGGACACACAATTTGAATCCCTAACTTCCATTCACAATTCCCATGTCCAATAAGTAGCGAACCTTTTTGTAGTGTGGGCTTTCCAGTGGAACCAAAAGGCATCATGAGGATTGGACAAGAAAAATTAAGGCAGTCAATTTCTGGAGGTCTACTGCACGAGGTTATTTATTATCATGTAATTTTTTCTCTGATAACCTTAAAAGGAAACATCTAAAGCTAAGTAGGAGGTAGATATACCTTTATAAAACTGGTATATAAAAACAGCTTACCGTAAAAGAAAAAGAAAAGGAAAAAGATAGGGAAAAGGAGGAAGGCAAATAGATCACCTCGATGGCATCTACTAGATATCCAGACAGCACTGATATCCATATTGTCAAAACAGCAAGCCACCCAATAGCTTCCCACTGGGTTATCTCAGGCGCCTCTTCCTCTTCAGAGTCTGCTGAATTGTGTTCTTCATCCTGTATACATATCAGAGAAACTATTAGATCTGACAAATCATTTACAGCAATAAAAAATAACAATCACATATTTTGGTATAAATTCATCTCGAAAACTATCCGAAATATGTGCACTCTTCAGACCTCATATTAGACATTTGATTACTACAGCGAAAAACATAATGTAGTGAAACAGAAACAGGGAACCTAAGGAAAATCAGACAGCCAAAATTAGACCATCTACCTCACTCACAGAGCTATACAGATTTGGTTGAATCTTGAGCTGAAAGAATAGGTAGCTTGCATATGCTACCAGCATTATGCAACTGCTAAATCTTGAAAGAGCCAACTGTGACTTGCCAAAATGCAATTCCGTGTGGGTGAAATGAAGTACAGCTGGAAATAACAAACCCATGACTGCCATCAACAATAATCCTGAGTTCACAATGGCAGCAGCCTGAAACATTTCAAATTCAATGACTGTTTACACATTAAAGCAGAGAGGCACTTAATGGCTACATTATGATAAGAGATCACACTGAACCATTGCTCATTAAATGTGAATTGTATTGTATTAACTTTCAGTTTTATTTAATTCATCAATAAAAGGCCGTTGACTTCATTACAGATGTATTCAAGGACGTGAGTAGATGACTCAGAAGAATATGATCACCTTATTGAACACCTGAACTTTCTGGTGATGAATAATTCCACCACTGAAGAAGGCACAGCCAAGCACCAACAGCATATTTGATAAAATGGAACCCAGCAAGGACTGTTTAACAACCCGCATCATTCCATTGTTCAATGCATATAGCGAGATTATCATTTCAGTTGCATTTCCAAATGTAGCATTCAGAAGGCCCCCAACTATAAATCAGAAAAAAATAGTGTGCTGATAAGAAAACAATAAATACGTGGTGGGAGTGGGGTGCGGTCATGGGCTCCACAGATTAGACACAGCACACATGTAACTGACTCGTTTCAACAAATATACAATGTACAATATCAAAACAACATGATGCACTATTCCACCAAAGGTCAATGAGACAAAGTTCAAGCACTGCAAAGCATAAAAACCATTTTAAAAGATACAAGAAACTGACGACCAATCCAACTGGCTTCAGTAAGGAAATCAGTAACATATGAGCAATTATTCAGAAGCTTGCTAAGTAATTTCAAAGGAACAGACAAAAGCAAAATACTTCAGCCAGCCTGGATAAAGAATGAAATAGCTTGTGTATAGTGACTCTGTAAGATCTTATGACGTCTTTCCTTTTTTCCTTTTAATAAGTGCATGAGAAACTAATTCACAATTATACAGCAGTGCAGCAGGTTTCTCACAAGCCTTCTCAAACAAAAGTGAAAACTCTAAGCGCAAAGAACATGGTAAACATGTTGCAGCAGTGTTTTTCCATCAGAACTTCCACTAAATGATACTGCATTAAATCATCCCCACTTAAGATGTGTTATGTTCAACATATTACATTCATCTAAATGCCTTTTGCAGTTCGGAGTTGAATAAAACTGCTGCTCACTCAGTGCCACTACTAAATTCACCTTAGATACCATATTCAGATTCTTTTAGTCTGGTGACTGCATACCAACTTGACAAAAGCACTAATTATGGCAAGCATTTTGAGAAGCTTAACTTAATTCTCCAGACTAATTCAATTAATAGGAGCATGACTGAATCTTTTGAAATCGAAAGGGCATGCTTGAAACTAGTGTGTTTAAATAGAAAATAGAAATGGAGGAACAAATAATTAAAAGGGAGTGAGTACCTGTTGGCCCGGTATAGAACGCGAGCTGCCTGTAACAAGAGGATTAAGAAGGTCAATAAGAGCACAAACAAGAATAGCAGCAGAAGTGAACTACACTAACTTGGAGAGAACAAGCTTACTCAGTCACATAGCCCAAGCGCTCAGCTAAAGGTGTAATGCCCAGTAAACTGAAGAAAAAGACCCAAGTCTGAAAGATCAAATTGTACACAAAACACAGAGATAAGCATAATTATAAGGAAGAAACCAACATGGTCTATATTCAGCATCCTTGTAAGAAGTATCAAAAATATGCATATGAAGAGAGCTTAAAAACAATGATTACATGTTTTCCTGTACGATTGTGAAGCAATATGGCCAGGGGGCCAAAAGGAAGTAACACATTGATCTTTGCTTTGATAATAACAATGTATATACTCCTTAGAAGGCTGATCTGATACATCTTTCTTAAGACCCTAGTAGAGCGATAGCTTCTGGGTGATGCAATATGAGGTGCCTCATAATGCAGACTGTCTATTTTGATAGTTCCCTGGGATGAGCTAAACGGAATCTCCTCGTCAAGTTCAAGGTCTAACTTCTCCCCAGCAGATCCCATTTTCAACAATCTCCTGAAACATGAAGGTCTGAATAATTGACCAAACAAAAACTTGGGCATACTTATTGAAGTTGTAATTCTTTCTCAAATAGAATAGTACCTTAATGGAAGATGCTCAAAACACAAATATACCAAAAGAGACCAGTTCAGCAACTAGTCAAAGCAGGTCAGCTGGGAAAACAAGATTAATCAGAAAAGTATGCAATAAGGGAAAAAAAAGAAGCAAAATTTGAAGTTGATTCAGAGAAATAGACCAGATCAAGATTTGCCATAAAAGATAAAAGCAAGCATAACCAGACACAACGATAGTAGTATAAAGATTGAACATTTACCAGAGAAAAAATCAATAAGACGGCTAATGGAAACGCAAAATTAGTAATTAATTTAGTTAGAGTAACAACAAAAAGAGGTTTGTGTTGAAGAAGGGAGCCGGCGATGGAAATGGAAATATGATGAGACATTATAGTAGGAAAAAAGAAGACGAAGGTTCGTGGAAGAAGCGCTTAATTAATTTTTGAAATAAACAACTTATTATAATTATGATTAGTAGTGAGTAATTTTCAAGTAATCAAATCAAGAATTGATTGAAGGATATTTTAATTTGTAGGTGGAGATCGAAAGGGTTACATGCCAAAGTGGCTACGTGTCCCACTGACTCAATTATTTAGGAGTATTTAAGAAGAACATTGCATGTTGGATTAGCCAATTATATCTTTTCCCACTACACACCCACAACCCCTTTTCTGGATAATAATATAATACTAACAAAATAATTATCTACACTTCCTATATTTTCATCCAGAAATCTTTAATTAAAAATAAAACAAGACTAATTTTGATTCATACATAGGAAAATTTTCGGTTCAAACCGAATAAATAATTAATGGCATTCCAAAGATAAACAATAGTGACTTTTCTCACTCAAGGTTTAAAAACAACTCTAAAATTTAAAAATTTCAAGTCGAGGAGTGTGAACTGCACATTTAATGATGTAGCTCATGAAGGAAGACGTGAGGCTTGAAAGGCAAGTCGTTCTAAGAGAAAAAGTTTTAAGTATTTGGATTCAGTAATTCAAGGAAATAGAAAGATTGACAATGATGTCTCACGTCATATTGAAGCGGGATGAATGAAGATCCACATCTGCTGTTTTGGAGAAAAGAATGTGTCGTTAAGATTTAAGGATAAGTTCTACAAAGTGATGGTTAGATCGACTATGTTGTGAGGGCGAAATGTCAGTCAGTTAGAAAACTTATGTCCAGAAAATGATAGTTGCAAAAATGAGGATGTTGAAGTGTATGTGTCGGCATAACTAGAGAGTTAAGCTTAGAAATGAAGAGATTCAAAACAAGATAGAAGTGAACTATATATGTTATAGGCAAGATATGGGAAGGGAAGTTAATATTTGTTTTAGACATGGAGATAAGATATGTTGAGTGGTATGAGAGGTTGGATGTGATACCGCTTATATGGTAAGGGAGAGGCAGGCTAAAAAAAGTCTCAAGGAGAAGTAATTAGGCAAAGATATAACACAACTTCGCCTTACCGTGACATAATTTTTTATAGGAGGCTGTAAAAATCGAGTATCAAAGTAAAAGATTTAGAAGGTTATCGAACGTATTTTATTTTCCCTACTAGGGCATTAGTATATTTTTTCATTAGTATCTTGTATCTTTTGATAATAAAAAAAGTATCTTGTATTTTTTTTTTATGTTCGCTCATTTTCAGAACTATAGTGCTTAGAGTCGTTAATATGGGCTAGGCCCGTTGGATCGGCCTGGCCTAATCCGTGATTTGATAGGGTTGGACTACAATTTTTTAAGCCTATTTAAGAAAAGGTTTTTTTAGTCCGGCCTGAATAAGTTTGTCGATTTGTGGGGCTTGAGAAATATGGATAGGGCCGGCCCGTGGGCCAAATAAAAATAAAATAGAGTACTAAAAATAATAGGAGTTTACACTCAAAATCTGTTTAAAGTTTGAAATATTACAATTTAAATACAAATTATGTTTATAAAATATGTACTACATAAAATAAAGTTCCTAAAATTTCTAGGGAATCACTACATAGGCCATAGCCTATGAAACATTATCATAGTTTTTGCGTTTTATTATGATCATTGGAAAACAATTAGGTTAATATTTCTATTTAGCTATTTATGATTTTACTTGAAATCAAACTTAATAAATATTATATAGATAGTTTTATTTGTGTATTTGATTAACAAGTAGTAACACTAATCGATTTTTATGATAATATTTTTAAATTATAATTTAATTTAAAAATTATAAAAAATATATTTTTAAGAAAAAAGGGCTCGCCCGGCAAATCCCGTAGCCCATCCACTTGTGGGCTGGACCGACTATTTTCTGACCCACATAAAAAATGGGCTAGCCCAGCCTGGCCCGTCAAATTGCAAAGCATGTATGGGTTAACCTTGATGGGGTGGGTCATCCCATATTGACAGCTCTAAATTAGTGTTACTGATTGTTTCTTTCATTCATTTATCTTAGGGAAAATTGTATATAATAGCAAACTATTAATTCAAATTAAATGTTATAAATATAGTTTGATTTAATTGTACCCCATAGCAAACTATTGTTATTTAACCTCTCTCTTGGTGAATCTCGCTCGCCACTCTCGTTCTCTCCTCGCCTCTCTCAATTTTTATACAAATGCAAGTGTATAAAGTGCGTTTGTGTTTGTATAAAGCGAGAGAAAATTGTATATATACATATATTTTCGTTCCCCTCTCTCCTCTCTCTCAGATCTCGCTCGCCACTCTCCCAGATCTCGCTCTCTCACTCGCCTCTCTCACTTTATACAAAAACCACAAATTGTATAAAATGCGTTTGTGTTTGTATAAAGCGAGAGAAAATTGTATATATACATATATTTTTGTTCTTCTCTCTCCCCTCTTCTAGATCTCACTCGCCACTCTCTCAGATCTCGCTCTCTCACTTCCCTCTCTCACTTTTTACAAAAACGTAAATGTATAAAATGCGTGAAAATTGTATATATACATATATTTTCGTTCTCCTCTCTCCCCTCTCCCAGATCTCACTCGCCACTCTCCCAGATCTCACTCGCCACTCTTCCAGATCTCGCTCGCTCACTCGCCTCTCTCACTTTATACAATTGATCTTTTTGTATATGTATACCAGAGCAGATTATACAACTGTTTTCTTTTGTATATGTATAGTGAAATATACATATTTATGTTTGCTATGGAGCGCAATTATGCAAAGTTTGTTATAGCATACAAATATGAATTTTGTGTTTGCTATATGTGAAAGTTGCTATTTATCTTAATATTTTGCTACTGTTACTATAAGTTATTTATGCTTTTTTTAATTTCTTTTTGAATTGAGAGTCTATTAAAAATATTTTCCTTCCGAAATAAAATTTATGTATATTCTATATATATATATACTTCATTTGTGAAATTTTATTAATCATGTTATTATTATTCTTTATCAAAAAGATGATTAAAAAACTATATGAGTTAAATGACTAGTGAGATGGTGAGCAGAGTAAAAGATGAATTGATCTCAATGCCAACAAATATATATGCAATAAAGAATAACAATTCAGCGCATGGAATTTAGTTAGTCAAGGTGGTTTGGTTTGAATACAAGTTATGTTGGGATAAATTATATTGGGATAAGTTATGCTGGAATTAGTTTTTATCGCTTGTTTGGTTTGTCATATTCAAACTTATATGGTTTAAGTCATTAGCGGCCCCTTAAAATTGTCCGCATAATTCACTTAGACACCTCAATTAAGACTAGTACCTATTGAACACTTTTACCAATTCAAAAATTGTTCCTATTAGACATTTTTTGATAATCAGCAAAATATATGAAGAGTGTGTGATACACTTGCGGTGACGTGGCAAAATGGTTAATTAAAAAATAACATGTGGCACTGGGCCCCGAAAATTATTAAAAATTTTTTTTTGTATAAAATTATTTCAAATACTTTTATATCTAGTTTTTTTTAAAAAAAAAATGAAAATGTCAACCTATTCTACCCAACCCCACCCCTACCCACCACCCTTTCATCTTCATCTTCTTTCCAAAACACATTCTTTCTCAAATCACAAAACCTAATTCTTTTCAAATAACTTGAAGATTAACTTTAAAAAATATATATACACATTTTCATACTAAGAGTGAAGAAGAAAGAAAATTTTGCCGGCGATTAAACATTTCTACATCTATGACAAAATGAAATTGATAGCTCAAAAATTAATTCTTTCAATTTTTTGAATATCATTTTTGATAAATTTAATGGGTTTATATATGAATTTGAGTAAAAATCTTTGTTCGAAAATTTTGATAAACAAATATCGGCTAACTTTTTTTATACGTAAAAAGCATTTATCTTCTTTCTTCTTCTTCATATTTGTTCCTTATTTTTATGAGATTTGAAATAAATCATACTTCTTTCAAATCTGAATCTTCATAGTTGATTTTCATTTATCTTCATATTTGAAAGAAATAATTTAATTTTATTTATAAAAAAGAAAGAAAAACAATGTTGGAGCTAAAATGAAAAATGTTTTGCAAACTAAAGTATGAAGAAGATGATAGGTAGGGAGTGGGGTCTTTTTCTTTTTTTGAAAAAATGTAAATGAAAGAAGAAAAATATTTTAAATTTAATTATAATGCCAAGTGTCAATAAAAGAAGAAAAAATGTAAAAAAATTTCAAAAAGACACTATTTTGAATCTTTTCACGCGCTTCAAGTAAGTGCAAAACACATTTTTTGCCATATCAGCATTTTGTGTTTAATAGGTACATGTTTTGAACAATTTAGGTGTTCAATAGGTACAAGTCTTAGTTGAGGTGTCTAAGTGAATTATGCGGACAACTTTAAGGGGCGGTCGATGACTTAAGCCAACTTATATTCATTGCATAATTTTTAAGAATAAGGTGTTTGTTTACAAAAATACCCTCTACCCTATTTAGTTTTTTTTTTACATTTTCTTTGCAAGCTTTAGTTATTCATTCCTAAAGATAAATTTTCATCTTATTTAGATTAAATATTTTTGTGTGTGCATTTCCGTGATTGTTCTGTGTGTTTCTAAAATGGACAAATTACAGAAATACACACTTTTTGTTTCACTTATTTCCATTATCCCCTATTACTTTTAAAAATCTCCAAAATCCCTTATTTCTTTAATGTATGTGAGCTGCATATTAATGTATCCGAGCTACATATTATGTATCAGACCTAGTTTTTAATGTATCTGAATCAGTATTTAATGTATCCGACGTAGTTTTTAATGTATCCGAGACAGTATTTAATGTATCCGAGACAATATTTAATGTATCCGAGCTTCAATTATTGTATCCGGTTTTTCTAATTTTTAACGGATTAATGTAATTAGAAACTTATTAGGGATAGTTTGTAATTTCATATTAAAACTATGGGATTTATGTAATTTACCCTTTTAACATTAAACTTTCATCTTATTTAACTTAAAAGTAAAACGTTCATCTTATTTAGCTTTAAACTAGATTGTGGACAATAGCTCTAGCTCATTTGTTAGATAAATCAACAGGCCTAGATATGCAAGCGTCGTGTATGTATATTTTCTGATTTCGTGTCTATATGTTTTTCAGGTCTCAAATTTGATATCATTCGTGCATCAATGTGAAGGTTCACTCCACCAAAACTATTTTTTAGCGGCAACGACAATTAATTAATGACAATAGTTTAATTGCTGCTAAATATGGTTTTTTTAGGGTCCATTAGCTCTCTTTGTAAATATTGTTTAAGTCTATAGTGATATTGTATTAACAAAAATCAACTAATGTCAGTAAAGGTTCTAACACTCTATTAATTTGCATATTTATTGTCGCTAAAAAGTCATTTTTGCAGTAGATTAATTAAAACGCTTAATTATTGGTAGCGTCATATCATATTCTTGTACCTGGTATTTATTATTTTAACTTATAGCTAAATATGTTGCAGTTAAGAATGACACGCTCACAAATAGAGACAACAATACATGAAGAAGTTCCCGTGAAATGTAACTTACAACAATAGCTTTTTGGTATGATTTTCGATTGGTTACGAGAGGTTTCAATCGGACAATCACCTGGGGCAAAGGCTTGACTTATCTAGTATATATGCATAGCAATCTTAACGAATATGTAATTATGGATTCTTCTTTGACGTAAATAATAAGTTGAAGACAATCGAGAGAGAAAAAAAGGTAACGATATAATCACACCATTAAATGAATTGATATCTAATTTATCTACGAATAAAACAAAAACAAAGTTAACAATATAATCATACCACTAAATGAATCGTTATCTGATTTATCCACGAATAAAACAAAAATAAAAATAACGATATAATCACACCACTAAATGAATCGTTATCTGATTTATCCACAAATAAAACAAAAAAAAGATAACAATATAATCACACAATTAAATGAATCATTATCTAATTCATCCACGAATAAAACAAAAGCAAAAACAACGATATAATCACACCACTAAATGAATCGTTATCTGATTTATCCACGAATAAAACAAAAATAAAGATAACGATATAATCACACTACTAAATGAATCGTTATCTGATTCATCCATGAATAAAACAAAGATAACAATATAATCACACAATTAAATGAATCATTATCTGATTTATCCACGAATAAAACAAAAACAAAAATAACGATATAATCACACCACTAAATGAATTGTTATCTTTGATTTATCCACGAATAAAACAAAAACAAAGATAACGATATAATCACACCACTAATTGAATTGTTATCTGATTTATCCATGAATAAAACAAAAACAAAGATAACATTATAGTCACACCACTAAATGAATCGTTATCTGATTTATCTACGAATAAAATACAAATAAAGATAACAACATAATCACACCACTAAATAAATCGTTATCTCGAACAAAACAAAAAATAAGGGTAATAACCATCGGAAGGAGCTGTTAGATCCTAAGTGATTGTGACTATAACGACTTTTCATGACAGCCTAGTTTGCCGACACTGTGAATTGTAATTGTTATTGCATTCCTCCTCCCTCAATCACAATACCATTCATTCAAGACTTTTGAACGGAGAAAATGGTACTTGGTGGAGGGAGAAATGATACTTTCACATGTTAATTTCAAGGGACCCACTTAAAAGTTAACAGAATTTTTAACTTTTATGATTAGTTCTAGGGTTAAGACCAAAATGATCATCTTTTTGTATACATTAACGACTATTTCAATAAGGTAATATATATGAAAGGACGAATATTATAGATTCACTCATACCATTTTTTCAACTTATATGTATGCATGTATGTATAAAAAAAAGGACAGCGGATACCCTTGGTTACATGTTAATTTCACATTCATGTATTGGCAGAGGAAGATGGAAAAGTCTTTGCTTAAAAACGAGTGATCCTTTACTCTTGGTCAGAATAGCCAAGCAGGATTGACGAGGAGGGAGTTCAACTCGTGTTATTTATTTAGAATTGATCAACTAACTCTGCGTGTTTTTACTCAGAAATTCCGTTCAAACCCCGTCCTCCTTTTACATTTAACGGAACGTAAACCAGTATAATAAACACAAGAATCTTCCAACCAGACAAGAGGTATCAATTCACTGGATAGCAGATTTTGTTCAGCAACAATGTATCTAGTAACACTTATTTAAGATCTCTCTTTTCCAGCCTTGCATTGCAATATACCCCAAAAGATTTGTGTTTCCAGCCTTGTATGTATGTATGTATATCATCATCCTCTAATATTATCAACTAACCAAGCATGCAAAGTCTATTACCTCAACTCAAACAAAGGAAGATACAGTATGAACGATAAGGCAAAAAACGACTAGACACCTGCAGCTTTCTTCCTACTAGCATTACTTTTAAAGCTTTTTTTCCCATTTACCAACTTCTTGCTACACTGGTCGAAAATCTTCTGAAAAATTAAACTAAATCACACCATAGGAGGCTTTGAACTAGTAAGTAATTCATAAGGCTCTCTACCTATAAAAGCAATGGATTGTTTTACCATAAAACAAATCCAATACAGAATCACAAGCAAAAAAAAAAACAGATATTGCATCCTTGAGGGAAAAGATACTAGCACTTAATAGTAAAACTTTCTCTTCTTCACTTTTTAACATGGGAGGATGATTTACAGCTAAATATATATATGTCCATGGCGACTTCATTTTTGAAGATGACAAAACATATATCCAAAATATCATTAATTGAATCTCTAAGTTGGGGAAACCCATAATTTCTACTTTCCTTTCTCCTGATACAACAATTGTTAATCAGCTGAAAGAGGAAAGACTCTAACTTTATCAAAACCAGCCCCATTTTTCTTTCTCCAGAAATAAAAATCCAACCACCACCATCAGTAATAGAGAGTAACAACATTTAAGATTACACAAAATAAAACCAGAAAATTAAGTAAAATAGAAAAACAAAAGAGTGGGGAATTTCTCCGAACCTAAAACGTCAAGAAGAAGAAGAAGAAGAAGAAAAATGAGGAGGTGGAGGTAACAATTGATGTGCCTGATTACTCAATGAGGTAGTAGCAGGACCGGTGTGGGTGCCTGGGCTATTCTGGGTGATGAAGGGATGGCGCAAGAGCTGCGCGGCCGTCCACCGCCTGGCAGGATCCCTCTGCAAACAGCAGGCAATGAACTCCCTAAACTCCCTGGAAGCAGTGGGTGGTGCCTCAGGAGGCTGTGACATACAAATGGCGCACATAAGGCTGGCCCAGTCTCCTTGTCTCCCCACAGAGAAGGGGAACCTTCCCAAGTAGAACTCTAAGATGCTCACCCCAAGACTCCATATGTCCCCAGCATATCCGTCGTACTGTCCGTGATTCAGATCTGTGTTGATTCTCTCGGGACTCATGTATGCGATGGTACCCACGGAGGAATTGCAAGGATCCATAGTTTGTGCGAGAACTCTGGAGACCCCAAAATCTGCAATCTTGACCTCACGCCTGGAGTTGATTAAGAGGTTAGAAGGTTTGATATCTCTGTGAACAATCTTACGCCTGTGGAGGTAATAGAGGCCGGAGAGAACCTGTCGAGTTAGATCGGAGAGAGGTTGTTCGAGAGGGATATGGATCCCTTCGAGAGAGCCTTTATCCATGAACTCAAGAAGAACTTGGATTTCGCCGTTGTGATCGAACATATCGTGACACCTAACGACGTTAGGGTTGTCTACATCTCGGAGAATCTCGATCTCACGGCACATCTGGAGACGGACAGAATCCTCATGGTTACCATAGATAACTTTCAAAGCATAGAGTCTGCCAGTGGGACGATGTAGAACCTTGTAAACAGTACCTCCGGTGCCACTACCGATGCGATTAACCCTCTCGAGCTCAGAGAAATGTAAAGGAGTAGGAAGCGGGGAGGAAGATGAGGATGAGGAAGAGGAAGGAGCGGAGGTTGGAGGAAGGGGGAGAGGAACAGCAAGAGCAACGTCACGTTGAGGAAGAGGAAGGGTCAAATCAGTACGACGCCGGGGACGACTGCGTTGTCCGGCGGAAGAGGGGGGAGGCATGGATGATGCGGCGGCGGCGGAGGAGGTGGAGTTGGCAGCTGGTTGAGTAGGTCGCATGATTGATTGAATGAATGAATGAATGAATGAATATTGGATTGTCTGCAATTATATAAAGAGAGAGAAAGAGAAATGGAATGGGGATTTTAGGTTCTAAGCTGGAAAGAAAATCGAGAGAAGGAGAAATGCAGCCATCCAAAGACAAATAGAGAGAGAACTTTCTTGGAAGAGAAAAATAAAAGGTAAACCTATTTGTATTTGTATTTGTATTTGTATTGGGCGGATGAGTAGGTCATTAGGGTCACGCTAAATTCTACTATTAGTATCTCATTAACAAATACTAATCAAATTGTTTATTCATTCACCTTACTTACCAAAGAGTATTTGGTAAAAAAGGAAAATAAATGAATTTCTTACTTGCTTTCATGCGATCTAGAAAAATATTATAGGATAGAAATAACATCAAAATAGAAAATCCGAGTCAGCATATATAAAATTGAGTTTGTCAATAACTTACTATAATTTTTTTCCTTTCGTCTATTTTATGAGTGGTTAATTCCTTCTATTGGGAATGGGGAGGAGACTTATTTTCATATTTTTAGTTTAACTTATATTTCACTTAAAATCAAAACGTTTTGTATTATAAAAATATCAGTATTCTTTTTTCTTGTCTAACATATTTGGTTCATTCAAAAAATTCAGTGTTACATAGTCCCAAAAGCAAATTTTAGGATTGAAGCTTAAATAATTAGTTTAAGTTATTTAAATTTAGGCATATTTATGTAATTGGTCATACCGCATCACTCCAAAGCTCTTTGTCTGACTTTTGAACTTAATATTTGGAATTTAGTTTTGTAAAACTGAAAATGGGAAAGAAGTCTTATACTATTGCTCAAGATCCAATGATTTGTTTAAAATCAAATGAACTGGAGACAATTGTTGATTAGCATGAATCATTACGTTGCCAAATACACAATTACAAGGTTTTCTCAACTCATTCAAATTGAATGAATATTTCAATTATTCATTTCTTGACACAAAACCGATATCTCACTTACTTTTTGTTATCCATTAATGATCTGGAATTGTTAAACTTTTCATTCTACCAAATGATGATAGGAATTATTTCATTGCTTATATATTCGAAAAGTTTATATTAAAACCATAATAATACTATTTACCAGTGCAAACAACAGCTTCTCCCATAATGTACCAACATGAGTTGTGGTGGGATAATTGAGATCCTTTCAATCTTGATCACAAGTCTCGGGGATTCAAGAAAAAAATCTTGTTGGGAGCGTTGGCCTTGAGTCCTGCAATGCACAAATCCAAATTATCGGACTTGTGAGACCTGAATGTTGTAGTCGCATGAAAAAATAAGCATAAGGGACCAAACTATAACGGCATCAGCGTATTCATCTATGACATTGGTCCTTCATTTAAATATACAAGTATTGAGCAGGTTATCTATACTTATCACAAGTTTCAACCATAATTCTTTACCAATTAATGTCAATGATGGGAAATTCAAAGTCCATAGATATGAAATACTTCTTCTTGTCCCAAAATTATGGTACTATTTGACTAATATTCAGAGCTAAATTTAAATACAGTATTTAAAAGTTGTATAAAAAAGTAGTATACTCAATAAGGTAATTGGTCAAAATTCATGTAGCCAATGTGTGGCCTAGTGATGAATGAAGTGGGTTGAGCACTATAAGGTCTCGGGTTCAAATCCCACCAGAGACAAAACACTAGGTAATTACTTTCATCTATTCTAGAGTATCTATAGTATATTGGTTGGTTCTTAGGAAGTGGACAATGTGGGTGGGGATAACAAATAACTGGGTTATGGGAAAGCGTTAAATGTTGGCATCTTAACAAAATGGTCAAGATATTATACTTACTATACGTTGCATTTGCGCAAATGCATACATGGAAAAGTGCTATCGTCAACACGGAAACATGTTTGATGAGATAAGACAAAACCTGCAACTTTTTATTTTTATGTAATCATATTTCAAAAGTACTCCAGCACCTTATACAATTAATGCGGTAACTTGGAAATTTTGATATATTAACGTGAAAGTTTTTGGCTAAATTAATCTCTCAAATATAACTCATCCTTATGGTATAATTGTGAACAAAAAACATCCTTCTACTATCTCAAAACTTGCATAAATCATCCTTTTTGTTAACTACCGTTAAATTTTTAACAGAAAGAGACACATGTGTCAAGCACATGACTTAGCCCAAATCCCCACATACTGTACGATTGATTTCCTCCCAAATCCTGCCCGATCAGCTTCCCAAAACAAAACTTCATCTTCTTCTGAACTTAAGCAACCAGACAAGTTCTTTTTCAACAGAAGAACTGAAGCTAGAGTTATTTTCTATCTCCTCACAAACAAGGTAAAAGAAATAGTCATTGAAAAAATTTTGATTTTACCATTACTGTAATATTTTTGTTATTTCTCAAACTAAACATCGTTTTCATTCTCAAAAACATCAGATTTGTAGGTTGAAAAATAAGAAACAATACGAAGAATATCGGCTCGAAGTTTAACTGACAGATCAGTCACACCCAACTATGGTATTGTTGATATTCAAAACCTTTAAGCATTTGTTAATATCATATATAACAGACTTTTCAGTAACTTATACATGTTATGATATTAGTTTTATTGAACTTGTACTTCATTCTTGACTTTATATATTTCATATTATATATATATATATATATATATATATATATATATATATAAGAACGAGTTCTATATTTGTGTAGATCCTATTTCTAAGGCATCCTTTTCACAATTAAAGTACATCACGGCGAATCATTTGTGCGTGGTCCGACAAGAGGCTACATAGGTGGAAAAGATGAATTTTTTTACTATGTAAACAGGACAATGATAAGCTTATCAGATTTTTAAAATATGATCGAACAATGTGGTTATGAGAAGGAGTCTGTGGTGTTCTGGCACAAGTCTCTTGTGAGCTGTTGTTTATAAAGATGAAAGAAATCAATTTACAGTATATGGAGATTTTGGGGGGAAAGTCATGTTCTGTTAGTTTTTAACAGTAGTTAACAAAAAGGATGTTTATGCAAGTTTTGGGATAGTATAAGTATGTTTTTTGTTCACAATTATACCATAAGGATGTACCCTAAGTCTGGGTTATACTTGAGGGATGATTTTAGCCAAAAACTCTATTAATGTGCATACCAAATCATCATATTTCGAATCACAGTATCGAGTGAAAGCTTAAAAAGGGAGAGGAAAAAAAACAATATTTTTGAGTTTTTATACCAACTACTTTAATTACACTTAATTCTCGTGGCCAACTACTTTCTTCTCCATTCTCTCAACATCATAGGGTATATATGACTGCTTTCATTACACCAAAACATATTTTACAAATTAATTTAATTAATCGTGTCTGACCTGTAACAAAGTCCGCCTGTAATTTCTGTAAAATTCTTTGCTTATTGCCCTTTACGTGCCAATACGAGGATCTGTCATTGAAACAGGTGGACCATAAGAGTATCTCCACTCTCCACAAGCTAAGCACCGTTCAACCTCATGGCTATTTTGCAACGTGCAAAACTTACAAGACCAGGCCTTTGCTGCCTTAGCTTCATTTCCTCTATCCTTTGGGGTTCCACAAGCTCCACAAAGGAGGGCTAGAGGCTGCAACGGTGAAATGAATAACATCAGTTGGGGTGGGGAGACTTTACAGTCACAGAGATAATGCTATGAAAAATCCCATTAGATCGATATGTCTGAAAATGATCTCAATTCTGGCTATGTGTCATTTGCTTGGGCCAAATTTTCTATTTTTCAAGGGATAGTGCTTTGTTGTTTAGATCACATGGTTGGAACAGAGCTGCATTTCAAAGAAGACTTATATAGTTCCTATGTGGTACAGGACTAACATAGGAAATAAAAGAGCAAGGATAAAGCCAAAAACATTACCTGATTCAATAAAGTGCACACACAACATTCCCACATTATCTTAGAATTGGTTACTACAATTGAAATATGGCGAGACTCCGGTATCGCTGAAGCTTTGGAGCTTTCACAAGGCCCCTCACTCTCTAACATTTTGGAGCCACACCACAGATCATCGTGTAATCTCCTTTCTGCAGCCATCGCAGCAGCTTGAATTGGGCTGAGTGCAGCCTTGATGCTGCTATCACCCCCAAGACGCTTAGGCCCCGATGGCAAAAGTACATCCAATCGTGCTCTGTTTTCTGCAGCAGCCAGTGCTTTCTGACGCAATGATGGCAACGGAGGTTGACGAGAAAACCCACCCAATCGTTTTCCTGGGAGATCAAATCCTTGTCCAGTACCCGTAATTCCCTTAGCCATAAGCTCCTCACATTCCTGAAAAGGGATGCAGGAAGGGTTTAAATTAGCAAAAAGAACGTAAGTGGTGCAAACAAAGTAAAAAGTATCTCATGCAGGCACAACCTTTCTGATTTCATCCAATAGGTTATAAAAGTCAGTATTATGTGGGCCATATTCATTGTGGCAGAGTTCATGAAGCATGGTATCAAGAATTTGAGCATAAGGGTAAAAGTCCCACTCATTGTTTGGCCGGCGCAATCTAATCTTAACTTCAGCACCTCCTCCTATGTTGAGTCCCAAAAGAGATGGATTGGCAGGACTGTGAAATCAGATTAGCTCATGAGCAACAAAATGGAAGATATAAATAAAAGCAGGAAACTCATTAAACCTAAAGACTCATTAGGAAATAAAAAGGCTGAAAGGAAGGAATGGCCAGTACCAAAATTCAGAGAGCACCTTAACTTTCCACTTCCGTTTGCGCATTATAGGTTGCACCTGTTTTGCTACATTTTCAAGAATTTCCCTCGCCTCATCATCACGCACCTTCTTCAAAGGTTTGACTTCCCAAACCTTGTTCAGATCATTAAGATCCATATAGGGTGGTGCTAAACCACAACTGAACTGACAATGTGGAGGAACCGGCGACATCAAATTGAAGTCAAATTGGTCAGATGTAGAAAAAAGGTGATTATACAGAATCAAACAAAGATAACGCAATATCTTTTCTAAGAAAGAGATCATAGTGATTGATGGCTCTTTCAATCCGGCAAAATGGAATTGGCGTGTACCAATTTGGGTCAGATTAATAAGCTTACAACCACTAAACAAACTTGGTTGACGAACATAGTTTATGCGCCGCTAATGTAGCAGCTTGTCGAGCATTTGACAAGCAAGGAGGTCAACCTCTTTCAAATATACAACATGGATTCTGGTAATGTAGTTGGACTCTCATGTCGATCCGAATGAATCATTCTTTCCACGGAGGTAAATCTTTGCCTGCTAGGCAAGAGGATAGCAAGTTCCAAATTTTGTCTCGTTAGGACATGTATTTCTATTACTATGAAATTCATCAATCAAGTAGTTAATGGTAGGGTTACCATTATACTTTTTGTAGTGACGAATCTTGTATGGGTTCCTAAGAAAAGGAATTTCTCCATTTTTTCGGGGTCTCAAAGGGGCATGGAAACGCATAAGAACTCTTGAATGGAAAAGAGATGTAACTCCAGCTCCTTCGGAATCGGTAGTCAATCCTATTTCCGATAGGGGCAGTTGCCAATTGAATTAGATTTTGACCATTATTTTCATATCCGTAATAGTGCGAAAAGAAGGCCAAAGTATCAATTAGGTTAGTAGTTAAAGTTCAATAGAATTGACACAATAATTATTGTTGTTTTTGGGTTGACATATACATTTTTTGGTGGTAAACTGTCAGGTGCCTTAGAATTTAGATTGGAGATAAACTAAGGATGGATAAAATATTGGATTAACATAAACAACTAGTTTAGTTAATCTTAATGTTTTACAAATGTCTAGTTCAACAATATATCTTCTTTGGTACGACAACAACAGCATACCCAGTGTAAATATATGTGGTTGCCAAGATTGGAAACAATTTTTTTTTTAAAGTATAAAGTTCGATTATCTCAAAAAAGGAACATCTTAAGAGCAGAACTCCTAGCAGTATCGGACCTCTATCTCTTAACATAATCTCTTACCACTTTTCCCCACATATCCTGCCGTATCTTAATTGTCACATCACCAGTTAACACTATCGGTGGTTGGTCCTTCCTATTTTTGGTCCTACCATTATTGTGTCCGAAACCATAACTCTTCTCCTCTAACCTTAAAGGCTTAAACCATCTCAATGCCCATTTTCCACCTGGATTACCGCTAGTTCTCTAGAGTCTCCCTCAATTTGGTTCTGATGTGCTTCCTGTTCGATTTGCCGCACTCCTTTTTGAGGATCCCCCTTTACATTTAAGGTTCTGGAATGCGATTTGTCTATTTGGTACTATACCACATAGGGTCCAAGATCATGTCTGTTAGGTTTATACTGGATGTAAAAAAGAGAGGGGATACTTAGTATGGACGGAAGGAAACAAGGGGATCATACTCCATATGAATTTTGGGAGTCCAAAGCCCTATCATGGGATAGGGGTGCTTGGGATGCCAACTAGTGAACTCCCTCTTTGCAAACTACTTACTTGATCTTCAACTCATCACAATTCTCTGTGAAAAGAGAAGGCAATGAGATGAATACCCAAGTAGAGGCTCTCCACGACACAGGGTAGTAGAGAATTCTATACGGGACTATGGTGTGAGAGTTGCCAAAATACTGAGTTGTATTTTACAACTCAAGAAGGGAAGTAACAAATTGATGGTGTCATGTGCAACGTCCATCAATGATGGTTCATTAATGTCCATTAACTTGAAGCTTGAAGATATTGTCACCATTACATGCATCCAATTCCAATATGAGTGTGATCCATGCTCATATTAGCTCAAGCCCCTTTTTGTCTAACATGGAGTATTGATGTCTCACTATTACGTATCCCAGTTTGTTTTTTGCCCAACATTGGATGAGGATTGTGCTTTCATCTTTTAGTATATGTAAGAATTAGCAAACGCTATTCATCATTCCAAAATTGCTTATGAATATATAGAACATCCCAAGTAAATTTCACAATCAAAGAGAAACCAACTGATAAACGATGATCGTGCAGAATAACTTTGTACGAACAATAGGGACGCAAATTTACAGTAAAACACAAAGGTTTAAGGCTTACCTGAGTCGCCGGTAAGTCGGAAGTCGGAAGTCGGAATATGGGGGAAAACGTGTAGACTTTTTTGGTTACTATTCTCAAGAGTCAAGAATGAAGAGACCTCTCTCATCCAATATGGGCCGGCCCGGGAAACTGTAATACCCTATATTAAAATAAGGGCATAATTGTCATTTAACTCTCATTTAAAAAAAAAAAAAGGATCAGAAATTTAAAAAAAAAAAAAAAAAAAAGGGCTGAAAGCCCTAACAGAAGCAGCAGCAACGCTGCAACTTCAGGGATCAAAAGAAAAAAAAAAGGGGGACTCTTCTTGTTCTAGTGAGCGAGCGAACGAACGAACGAAGGAGAAACATAAATTTAAATTGAAAGCCTTAGCTCTCAAACTAAAAAGAGAGGTGGAAGAAGAAAAAGAACGAGAAGAAGGTAAGTTTCTTAACTTAGTCTAAAGGTTGAATTTGTATCTTCCATGACTATAAGATTGGGAATTGGGAAGTTGAGAAACATGGGTTTAGAAGAAAAAGAGGAAATTTATTTCATTCTTATGAACCAAGTGAATATAGTCAATGATTTGAACTATAAACTTTGGTATTGGGCTTATATGCAATAAGAGTAATTGGGCAGTAAGGTTAGGTTGATCTTTTTACAGCGAGAATCGACCAAGAAGAGACTAATGTGTGTGATTAAAGCACTAATTAAGTGATTGGGCAGATTTCGAATCAGTCATGAAACATCTAGGGCTGGTTTTTTTTTTTAATGTAGTATGAATTACCTAAATGAAGGAGTTAACACGAAATGATTATGAATGTGATTATAGATTGACCAAAGGAATTCGTACGGAGTAATTGAGTGGCAAGCTTGGTAACTCAACACAAGTACTGTGAGTAGTAATCTTACCACAATTTGTATTTCACAAATTTCATGATTTTTACATGGTTTATAAAGTAAATGTGTTACTGAATGTTTCGAACTTGCATCGGGACAAGTCTTTTACTTGATATGATACTGAAAAGATTATTTGAGATGATCGCATTCTTACAAGATATGATTACTGGTATTGAAAAGGTTTTACACTTATTTGAGAAATAGTATTTTGACAGGTAGGTGATTGTTAAACTTTGAAATGATATGATTTAATAAGATTTAAATGCTCTGTTCAATTTTGAAATGCTTCTACTGATTATAGGAAAAGTTTAAAAAAGGAGTAGACCTTGATGAATCCCGTAGCTAACGGCGGGTTCGTTAGACCTGGTGCACCTTGTAGTTACTGATTACTGATAAAGACCTTGCTAGTCTGTTACTGATATCCCTCGAGTAGGGATCTACTGATATGAATACTTAACTCATTTATGAGGAGTTCACTGTTATTGGTACTTCTTAAAGAGAAGGCCACACTGATTACATGATTCATCCTTGGAAACCTCCCAGCTATAAGATTTGATATGAAAATATTCTTTTTCTGAGTTTGCTATTATGTATTTACATTGATTTTGCTTATATGAGGCACCTAAGGTTGAATATTGTTATTGTTTCTGAAAGAGCATTGTTTCATCATCATGACTACTACACTAGCATGCTTTCTGACTTGTCCCTCATTAAAATGGTTGTGGTTAAGTAATATTACTCACTGAGCTAGCGTCTCACTCCTCGCTATTTGTTTTTACAGAGAATTCAAGTGGTATTGAAGAGGATTCCATTAACTAGCGTGTGAGTTAGTAGCATCTGGTGAGCCCCGCATTGCTTCGCGTGGCAAGAGAAATGTTGATTTGTTAGGTTTATTTAGTTTCTTTTAAAAACTCTTAGAATTGCTCCATTTGTCATTCTTTTGATTTGAGTCAAGATTAGTCCTTCGAATTATAGTCAAGTGACTAGTTTGGAATTTTTTTTCCGTAATTTGGAGATGAATTGGTTTTTATTTCGTGACAATTTGATCCTTGATGGATATTAAATGGTGGTTTATAGTTGCTATTAGTTGTGTTGTGAAATTCTGAGACAGGAAAAATCCAGGATAGGCCTAAAAACAAAGGAAACTCTGCCCGATTTTCTGTAGAATTCTGGTGAGGCTTGCTTTGGGATTCTCCCCCTTAGCGCCGGTCATGATCCTTAATTGGGTCGTGACAGAAACGTACTTCCGCTCCAATTGATTTGGGCTTTGGCTCAACTTCTTCTGCAAGTCTCCAATATTTCAATTTAAAACTAAATAAGTAATATTTCAACCAGAAACTCAAATATTCATGGCCTAATAGTCAACATTGAATTCATAAAAATTCTCATGAAAATCGTTAAGAGGAGATAAAGGATAGCAAAAAAAAAAAAGAGTTGTGAGATGTGAAACTTAATAGCAATCAATGATGAAGAAGAGAACGATGGATACAATATATAATTAATGTGATATGTAAAGCACAAAAAATAATAAACAATTATATATTCAGTGTAATCTCACTTGTGAAGTTCTAGGATAAGTATGTACACAATCGTACTTTTATTTTGTGAAGATAGAAAGACTATTTTTTATAGACTCTCAGCTATAGTAAAGTACTATATCAAACATCAAGTATGTAAAGCTAATCTATTGAAGAAATCATCTTGAAAACAATGAAGAAGAAAACACTTGCTACAACAATATCATATTAGATATCGGAGAACATGATAGTAAGAGGGTAATTTTAATACCAATAAAGAAACTAATCAATGTTAACTATCTACTAACATCTATCCTAACTCTTGATGTTCATATATTTCCTATCTAAAGACATATACTTGAGAAGTCGTAGGTGTACCATTTCGATTTAATCACCTTTCACAAAATTTCTTGAACCTACACCTACCTATTATAGCTATCCTCTCACACCTTTTGTGCACCTTCTATTAGCTAATAAAGTGAAATTAAAATCATGAAAAGTTGGTCTTCAAATTTTTGATAAACAAAATTACCTAATATTAGGTAATGTGGAATACGCAAACACACATATAGTAAAATGTGAATGTAATAAGAGGAAGATAATTTGTTGGCATTGTGAAAAGATGAAATACAATAGTAAAATGTGAAGTGTAGGGAAGAAATATAAATAAATCATATATCATATCTATACTACATTAAAAGCATGAACTCCAAAAGATCAATGTTAAATTACGGAAAAACCCCTCACTTAAAACTTAAAAAGATTACACAAATACCCCTCACTTAAAACTTAAAAAGATTACACAAATACCCCTCACCTAAAATAACCCCTAACTTCACACCCCTTCCGCAACAAACACCTTTGCTTCGAATAGTCACCAGTTTCACTGGAAAGCCGCCAAAATCCCCTGCAACTGCCCAACGTTCAATAAATAACCAAACAACACAACCTCTGGAAATTGCCCTATTTATATCAACCACACCCATAACATCGCTTCCCATTGTTAATTCAACTTCTGCTATAGTCGCAAAGGTCTGCCATCTTTCCTCCTCTTGGTACCATCTACTTTTTAGCAAACTCAACTCTTACATGTGCAATTTGTAATTAAATTAGGTAAATATTGATCATCCATCTGCAACCACATTATAATATTGGACTTGTGCTTGAAATATTTCACTCCACATCAAAGGTTGTAAGTTTTCACTCTATTTAGGTTTTGATTTATGGTTTTTATTGGACTACTTGCATCACCTATCAATGTTACAATCGACTTAGTAATTCCTTTCCTTTAACTACTACACACTGCTACCCAGAATTAACATTGATATTCGCTTCCGCTATGCACCTCTAACCATCCAGATTCATCACAAATGGCGACTGACACCGAACTATCAAAGCAGAGTGTCCCCATTAACAAGATACCAAAGCACTCTGTTGATTGGGTGATGAGAGTATTGGTTATTCGCAAGAGTTCTATAATTTCGTACAACAATTCACGCCATGAAGGAACTTTCCAAACTGTAATATTAGTGGACGACGAGGTAACACTTTTGCTAAGCTTACATGTTATCGTTCCTGTTTATTCCCTTTTACTTCTCTAATGACATCACATGTTGCTTACATCAATAATAGGGGACAAAGTTGCAAGCGACACTATTTAACAAGCATATCGATACATGGAAAGACTTCTTGAAGACAAATAAGACATACTACATTGCTAAAGGGTTGCTAGATCGGGTCAACCCCAACTACACTTCTGTGCACAAAGAGATTGAACTGACCATTACAGACAATACAATCATAAAGGAGAGTGACCATGTTGTTTCAACACACAACTTCTCTAATGGTTTTGTATCTTTGGAACATGCAGAGAAATTGCCTAATGGCTCCATATTTGGTAACTCTTCACACGACTTATTAGTAATTTCCGTCAAGTACATCATACATATCACTAATTTACATGTCCACTATTCAGACTTGATTTGTGTGTTAGTTACGGTGAATCCCATCATTGTAAAAGGCGATAGCAAAAGACGAGAAATTATTGTTACAAATGAACTGTAAGTTGCCATTCTTTGTTCTTCGCCCACCGTCCATAATAATCTGCCAGTGCATTCATATTACTTGTCTATTTCATAATCCAGCATGGAGTGTACAACTGTTACTCTATGGGGAGATTTTGCAGAAAACGATGGCGCCTTTCTTGAAAAGCTGAAAGATGACCAACCTATTCTAGGCTTATGCGATGTGCGAGTCTCAATCTATAAAGGTATAGATAACCTCTCCTCTTTTCTGATTGTACAAATTTCAACTATATTTGTTTATTCCTTGATTAAATATGTTGTTTCCAATGCAGGGACTTTTGAGATATCAACTATACCCGTGAGCAGTGTGTTAATCAATCCAATATTTCAAAAAGCACTAGATCTTCGAGCCTGGTACAGAACCTCATTTACTAAATTGCTAGGCAGAATTAAACGCACTAACTTTTCCTCAAATATGTGCAACAATTAACTCAAATATTTTCTATATATAGGCGTGAAGTCATAAAAGCCGAAAAGAAAACTATCACAACCACACCAAGTAAGGTAATGAGAAAAGCCACAGAGGTGACGTTACCCAATATTATGGATGGCACACTTGCTGATACACAGGTACCTACAAATAGACCCTTTCTTTATCCAAATAGGACCATTGCTTACCAA